AACCCAAGTCAAAACACTACACCCCTTCCTATATGTACCAAATCTCCTACCACCAATTAACACACAGCAGCGGGGTCAATACTCAGGGAACTCAACACACTTTTCAGCTTTCAGTTGCTCCAGAGGCCGCTTCTAGCTCTTTTATAAAATCCCAGCTCACTGGTTTCTATCACTGGAAGAGAAGTCCGATTTTGCCATTGTTTGCACAGCACGTCTGAAATGTTCACAGAGAGATGACAGAATAAAACTAATATATAGGCAGAATAATTTTTCCAGGTAGACAGACATAATGGACATTGTGCTATTCTGAAGCACTAAGCAAAGGAATCAAAACAAAATAACGTTGGTTAAGCCTTCTTTTACAAAAAGGAAAATTAAGACTGTAAGAAAGTGCAACAGCGCCACCTATGGCTAAAAAGACCTTCCAGGTTGCCGGGAAAGATGCAACACAAAAATTCCCTGTAGGATGAGAAACGAGAATCAGATAACTAAAAGCATATTTAGCACATACTGCACTTCACTTCGGGGAAGGGAGGGGTATTCAGTATTTAATCTGACATTGCTAATACTCCTGAATATAAACAAAAGACACAGTCTCATGGAAACTCATCTTAGAAGAGGAAAGAATACAGTCCAGCCACTTCATTTTACTGAAGGGGAGACTGAGATTTGGGATCTGTCCTCCTGGCAATTGGCAGCATAGCTCTCCTAGGCCTCATGTCTTGCACTGTAGCAAAAACCAACAGACCTGTACTAGGCCTATATTCATAAAAGTCACGTCTGTATTTTTCCAACAGTAGGTAATCTAAGTATCTTGCAAAATACTTCTCAAAGTGTCAGGAAATCATACAAGTGTATTGAAATACAAAAACATTTATTTGCACATTAAAACAGCATGAGCTTTATTCTATTAAAAAAAGTGACATGTTAAATCAACGTTTTGATATTTTAAAACCTATTAAGAGTGCAGAAAAATAAATCAAAATTTTCTTTAATCACAAAAGAGAGAAGCTTATTCCCTGAAAATGATCAATATGGATTTTTCTAAACTTAATGCTTCTGGTCAGATTCCTACGAATTTAAATGTCTGAGTAGATGGTTACACGGCAACATGAATTCTGAGTTGTAACAATTCACATTCTGTGTAAATAATCTTCAAGGCCGTCTGCTTAAGGCGATTTTACTAGACCCTGTCTCACTAGAATGATACAGATTTCATTAAAACTTCATACTGCACACACACACAAAACCCTGAATCCTTGTTACTATA